TCGGTCTTTCCCTGATTATCTGCACTTCTAGTGGTATACAAAGTGTGTTTAGTCCAAGCTTTAAGAGAAATCAAGATTAGCCCAATATACAATTTAATACTAAAGGGATATAAAAGTGCACGTATTGAAAATGTGGTTTCTGTCCATTGGTGATTAATTCTATTGTATTTGAAGGGTAAAACAGTGATAAACATGTAAGGATTATTTCACAAGCTGTAATCAATAAATGAAAATTTATTCCTTTTTATTCATTTTGAGTAGAAGATCACAATTGGAAACGATGGATAACAACTCTAAAACTCATAAAAGGAGAAATAAGCGAGTGTTAAGTAACGGACGGATATAGCTTGTTAAGACGCTGGGAATTTGTCCTCTCTCACAGCGGTTCATAAAGACAAATTCGTCCATCATACGAACACTTGATAATATTCTAACTTATAAAACTAGTTCTCTATATATATTATTTTCAACGAGATATGGAAATGTTAAAATAGGCCAGTTGGTGAAAGATCTGAGTAACAACATGTTTCAGGTTCTGTTTTAGTTGTCTGAAGATCACATAGCGTGAAACTCTGAGTAACAACATGTTTCAGATTCTGTTTAAATATTTCTATATAGCTCAATAGTAGGGACGCAGGTTGAAAATAGGTCAGTTGTTTGAAGATTACACGGCGTGAGAAAAACATGTTTCAGATTCAGCAATAATTATTCATATTGCTACAATAATAATGTAGTTTAAGCCAATCATTAAAAACACACAGTTTAATGATTCTATAAATCGTTGCCAAGCTTACTTCCGGTTTCTATAGTTCGCAGTGAAGTTAACTTCCGGTTTCTATAGAGTTTAGACGAATAGTTAAATTTGATCGAGTTGAAACAAAGCTCATTTTTGTCTCTAACCAATCATAAAAGTACCACATTTTAAAGTTTCTATAAATCTTTGCAAAGATTACTTCCGGTTTCTTTATCCTTTGCTGAAGCGGACTTCCGGTTTCTATAGAGTTCGAAGTAATAGGAAAATTTAATCGTGTTGAAAGGGCTTTAGTATCAGCCGTAATCAGCACATGTTTAACTGAAACCAATCATTGAAAGACCACAGAATCCGGTTTCTATTGATCGTAACGAAGCTAACTTCCGGTTTTAACAGTTCAAACACTTCCTGTTTCTATATATATAGTTCTGCAGTTGAAACAGTTCAAACGGAATGGAATGATAAGGATTTTGAGAGAAAATTAAGTTAATTGGATGAAGGAGTAAATATTACAGATACTCGTCTGACTCGTGACTTCCGGTATTAGTCCAATACGTTCAATATGTAAATACTGCCATTTTATTGTTGAAAAATGTAACGAATGGAGTTTTACGTCCTACTTTTCTGCACCATGTGGGCTAATGAAGACGGGCAACGCCATGTAGTGTGCAATGAGGGAAATTTTGCCAGGACAGCGGCATTAGACTGCTCTTTTTCGATTTCCAACTATCGAGGGATCTTTAATGTGCACAGTCTGCAGCACACGGGGCCTCGATTTATTGTCAGCGTGAAACTATGAGTAATAAAATGTTTCAGGTTCTGTTTTAATATTTTTATATCTATATTTTATATCATTGTCTGAAAAGTAGAGCTAAAAAATGATTTAGATAAGTAGAATTTAAAAATTGGAGTGTTTTTTTTGTAAAAATTGTCATAACAAATTAAGTTTGTATAATAGCTAAAACGAATCATTCTGGAAAAAGACGTTAATGGAAGACGAAACGAAATTATTTTGCAATGTCGATACAATCTAGATATTGTTTGGAAGAAGAGGTTATCTATATCGCCGTCATAACAAATATTATTGTCGTTAAACTATACGAGTACATCCAAACACGACAGTCAAACCAAACTTTCCACTTTAACAGACGTAGGTACAATTAGTATGTATTAGTGGACATTGTATTTGGGGTTTCAGGTACATATTTTTTTAAATTTTAGACATTGTTAAAGGGACAGATGCGCCATTTTCAGGGTTGATTTGAGTTTTGAATATTTGTAAATAGTCTTCAGAAATACTAGAAATGTACGAAAATCACATAATTCCTTTAAAAATATCTCAAACTAGGAATTTTACTTTCTATTTCTATAGATGTCTTTTCTATATATCACAGTGTCTCAAGAGAGACGAGTCGTCATTTTAACTTTCAAACGTAGATAATTCTAGACACACATGAATTTCAAGGCTAAAATTTTGACGGTGAGCTGTGAACACTATTACTGATTTAGCTGAATTCCCATTTCTAAGACTAAAAGTACAATGGTCATATGGATAGCAAATTGTGAACACTATTACTGATTAACTTAGCTAAAAAATTCCTGTTTCTGAGACTAAGGTACTAATCAAGAAGAAAATGGAAACACATTATATCAAGTCTGTCCTTCAATTTTTGTGAAAAATTGGAATATAGTTCGGTGTATATTCGCTTGTGCAATACGTATAGTTCTTACATGTAAATAACACACACGAACGTAGTTCACCACCATTTTGAATCTCTTTCTCAACTTAATAAGTTGAATTTTGAAAAAAGGTTTTACTTTTTTAACGAAAATTGGACTTATTAAGTCGAGAAAGAGATTCAAAATTGTGGTGAACTACGTTCGTGTGTGTTATTTCTATGTTAGAATCATACGTTACTTCAACTTTTTAACTGATTTAGAAACAAGCTTACGTTTTTATACATAAAAATTTAGAAAACCTCTTTATAATCTCTTTAACAAGAACCACAGACGTCTGATTGAAAATTAGAATGGTGTAAATTGATGCTATCAGTGTCTCTGATACATATAAAATATTTAGAAAACCTCTTTACAATCTCTTTAACAAGAACCACAGACGTCTGATTGAAAATTAGAATGGTGTAAATTGATGCTATCAGTGTCTCTGATAAACATAAAAAATATAGAAAACCTCTTTACGATCTCTTTAACAAGAACCACAGACGTCTGATTGAAAATTGGAATGATGTAAATTGACGCTATCAGTGTCTCTGATACACATAGAAAATATAGAAAACCTCTTTACAATCTCTTTAACAAGAACCACAGACATCAGATTGAAAATTAGAATGATGTAAATTGATGCTATCAGTGTCCCTGATACACATAGAAAATATAGAAAACCTCTTTACAATCTCTTTAACAAGAACCACAGAGGTCTGATTGAAAATTAGAATGATGTAAATTGATGCTATCAGTGTCTCTGATACACATAAAATATTTTAGAAAACCTCTTTACAATCTCTTTAACAAGAACCACAGACGTCTGATTGAAAATTAGAATGATGTAAATTGATGCTATCAGTGTCTCTGATACACATAAAATATTTTAGAAAACCTCTTTACAATCTCTTACATCAAGTCGAGGAAGAATTCAAAATGGTGGTGAACTATGATCGTGTGTTATTTCTATGTTAGAATCATACCTAGTGTCTATTGTGTGAAATAATGCTATGTTTGTCAATCTAATACATCTCAATGAAGCCAATTCAACATTTCATAAATGTCACTACTCTATTTTTTATGTCTTTCGTGAAATATCGATGGTGAAAATTAGTTAATAAACTTGAAGAAAATAAATGAAAATAATAAAACATGTCGTCGATGAACGTTAAAAAAACAACCAGTTGACACATTTTGCTTTTCTCTTATCTGGAGGTGAGATAGTATCAAAAGCAGACCATGGTTACTCTTTTCGAAACACCTGATGGTACTTCTCTTTGGAGGAGTCCACTACTATACAACTTTTACTCTCTATTTTACCATACTTTGGATGAGTTTTTGATTAACGAAATTGTCTTGATTGTACAGATTTTTATTCGAAACACCTGATGGTACTTTTCTTTGGAGGAGTTCACTACTATACAACTTTTACTCTCTATTTTACCATACTTTGGATGAGTTTTTGATTAACGAAATTGTCTTGATTGTACAGATTTTTATTCGAAACACCTGATGGTACTTCTCTTTGGAGGAGTTCACTACTATACAACTTAATTGTTAGTCTTGTTATTTTATTCATTTCTCTTGATAACACTGTCTGTATGAGCATGTGAAACGTTGAGTTAATAAATGTCAGAAATAATATATCCAGATATCTTGTGCTTCTTTAAAATTTATGTCTATTCTAAGAGGTAGTATCCCTTTAAAGTAGGAATATTTGCGAACTCAAGACCATCATTTGTTTGATATTACCAAACAAAGGACGCTATGTAAAGATGTCAAACAGTCTCCAAGGAATAACAAGGCATTTTAACTAGAGAACTGATATCGTGTTGCTGTCCACTATTGTCCAGTAATGACCTTTGAACAGTTTGACCTAGGATAAGATTAACGAGTAAAGACAGCTTGTCCGAGACAATTGTTGAAACAGAAGTTTCTAATTATGATCAAGACATAGTAGTAATCATATTTTTAATTAAATCACAAATTGGAATCATTTCATACTGCCAACACTTGTTTCAGAGTTATATTCATTATGAAAGACGTGTTTCGAATCAAGGCAGGGCGACAAGGGATGCCTTGAAATTTTCGGTAGTAGAATAAGGAAATGAAGCTGAGAAGCCAATAGGTTTGGCTAATGACCAGCTGGTAGAAAGGATCCTCGTGAACCTAAATTGTTATCCTTGTAAAAGCATTACGAAGAGGTTTGACCAAGTACCAGATGGTAGAAAGGATCCTTGTGAACCTAAGTTGATATCCTTGTCAAATCAATACCAAGAGGTTTAGTCAAGGACCGGCTGGTAGAAAGGATCCTTGTGAACCTAAGTTGTTATCCTTGTAAAATCAATATCAAGCGGTTTAGCCAAGGACCAGCTGTGAATATTTCTGTCGAATGCGTAACGAGAAAGTTACGGATAATCCAGGAAAGATCAATACCAAGAGGTCTGGCTAAGGACCAGCTGGTAGACAAGATCGGTTTTGGCTGTAAGATCAGAATATATAGAAATTTACTTACTAGTATGATATAGTTGACCAGTTTACACATGAAGGCACCGTACAACCAATTTTTATCAGCGAACATACTGGACGTAAGGGGAAACGAGATAGTTATAAAGGCCAGGTCGGCGAGGGCTAGATCTATGATGTAGTAACTTGTCGCTGATCTGTCGCCATGTCGTACCATTGTAAATATCACCAAACTGTTGCCCACTGTACCAAGTATGATAATTACACCCCATACCGCCCGTAACAATATCGATTCCACGTACCCAATTATAACTGGTAGGGTTTGGTTGGTATCTGAAATAATAATTGAAAAATGTCATTAATATACCAAGGCATCAGGTTCGTTCGTCCTATTACACGTTGGCCTTGGTCCGTTCGCTACTTGGTCAAAATTCGTTCGCCCTTAGTCAGGGTCTGTTCGCCCCTTGGTCAAAGTTCGTTCTCCCTTAGTTAGGGTCTGTTTGCCCCTAGTCAAAGTTCGTTCTCCCTTAGTTAGGGTCTGTTTGTCCCTAGTCAAAGTTCGTTCGCCCTTAGTTAGGGTTCGTTCGCTGTTAGTCAGGGTCCGTTCGTCCTATTACACGCTCGCCCCTTGGTCAGAGTCTGTTCGCCCCTTAGTCAGGGTCTGTTCGCCACTTAGTCAGAGTCTGTCCGCCCTTAGTCAGAGTTCGTTCGCCCCTTGCTCAGGGTCCGTTCGCCCTTAGTCAAGGTCTGTTCACCTCTGTATTATAGGACATGTAAGTAATATATATGGAAGTAATGAAGTTAATCTAATTAAGGTGTTTTTATGATAATTTAATTACGGTCAATCATTTACAAAAAAAAAACTTCTGTTTAACTCTAATATTTATTGGGTTTTAATGTCTAAAGTAAAGCAACTGAGACTAACGGACGATTGGTCAAACGGATAGCGAACCTGTCCTTTTAAAACGTACGGGGTTGAAAGCTAACAGGCTAGAAGTGAAAATATGGAGAAAGCGTTGAAAGAGAAATTTGAAATGGTTTATGTTGAAAGTGGTGAGAGATTGTAATATCATCTTCACAATGTCAAGGGTTACCTTGACTGCATTAGTCACCTTTCTTGTATCTTCACAATGTCAAGGGTTACCTTGACTGCATTAGTCACCTTTATTGTATCTTCACAATGTCAAGGGTTACCTTGACTGCATTAGTCACCTT